GGTTGGCTTTTCAGGCTTTTCGGGCTACTCTGGCCAGAGTTGCGAGGATGTTTCGAGCGGTGGGCTTCTCGGGCTTTTCGGGTTTTTCTAGCTTTTCGGGCTACGCCGGCCAGAGTTGCGAGGATGTCTCGAGCGGTGGGTTTTTCGAGCTTTTCGGGCTTTTAGGGTTTTTCTTTTTTTTGGGTTACGCTGGCCAGAGTTGCGAGGATGTTTCGAGCTTCGGGCTTTTCGGGCTTATCGGGCTTTTCAGGCTTTTCGGGCTACGCTGGCTAGAGTTGCGAGGATGTTTCGAGCTTTCGGGCTTTTCGGGTTTTTCTGGCTTTTCGGGCTTTTCATGGTTTTCTGGCTTTTCGAGCTTTTCGGGTCAATTGGATTAGCCCGAAAAAAGCCCGAAAAGCCCGAAAAGCCCGAGTTGCGAGGATCTTTCTAGCGACGGCGCACGAGTTGCAAGGATGTCTCCAGCGGCAGATGTTTCTGGCCTTTTTGGCTTCTCCGGTCTTTCGGGCCAACAGGGCGCTCACTCGGGTTATTCGGGCTACTCGAGCCCTCGTCGTCGTCGTCGTCGTCCGCTGGCGGCCCCCCAAAGTGCAACCTGTTCAACCCCGCGCCCCCTCCCATCCGCTCCCCCACGAGTGGACAAGTTTGGATTGGAAGCGGGAGCCCCTGCTAGGAAAGGTCATCACATTGATGCCCCGACGCTTCCCTTCTCGCACTTGCAATTTTGGTAGGGATCAGCACTCCGGCGAGTGCTGATCCCTACCAAAACGGGGTGTTGGGTGAGTGCCTAGGCCTCTGTGGGCCTACAACGAGTGGACAATTCTGGATTGGAAGCAGGCGCCCTTGCTTGGAAAGGTCATCACATTGTTGTTCCGACGCTTCTCTCCCCCCTCTTGCCGTTCTGATAGGGATCAGCACTCCGGCGAGTGCTCCGCCCGACCCGACCGTTCGTCAGGGTTCGCCTGCCCGACCAGATCGCCCGTTAGAGTTACACGTGTGTGTTATTTCGAGCACTCGTTTTGCTCATGTCCCGCCCGCTCGACCAGAGTCGCCCGTTAGGATCCACCCGTCCGACCCGACTAGCCCATTACAGTTACGCGTGCGTGTTACTTCGAGCACGCGTCATATTTGAATGTCCGGCCCGCCCGGCTCGCCCGTCCGTTAGGGTCCGCATCCGATCCAACCCGCCCGTCAGGATTATACGTTCGTGTTTCTCGAGCATGCATCATACTTTAATGTCCCGCCCGCGTCGGCTCGCCCGACCCGACCCGCCCGTTAATGTTACGCGTGCGTCTTTTTAAACATGCGTCATACTTTAATGTCCCGCCCGCCCGACCCGACCTTCCCGATTGGGTTTGCTCGCCCGAACCGATTCGCCCGTTAGCGTTACGCGTGCCCCTCCCATCCGCTCCCCCACGAGTGGACAAGTTTGGATTGGAAGCGGGAGCCCCTGCTAGGAAAGGTCATCACATTTATGCCCCGACGCTTCCCTTCTCGCACTTGCAATTTTGGTAGGGATCAGCACTTCGGCGAGTGCTGATCCCTACCACAACGGGGTGTTGGGTGAGTGCATAGGCCTCTGTGGGCCTACAACGAGTGGACAATTCTGGATTGGAAGCAGGCGCCCTTGCTTGGAAAGGTTATCACATTGTTGTTCCGACGCTTCTCTCCTCCCCTTTGCCGTTCTGATAGGGATCAGCACTCCGGCGAGTGCCCGACCCCACCGTTCGTCAGGGTTCGCCCGCCCGACCAGATCGCCCGTTAGAGTTACACGCGTTTGTTATTTCGAGCACTCGTCTTGCTTATGTCCCGCCCGTTCGACCAGAGTCGCCCGTTAGGATCCACCCGTCCGACCCGACTAGCCCATTACAATTACGCGTGCGTGTTACTTCGAGCACGCGTCATACTTGAATGTCCGGCCCGCCCGGCTCGCCCGTCCGTTAGGGTCCGCATCCGATCCAACCCGCCCGTCAGGATTATACGTTCGTGTTTCTCGAGCATGCATCATACTTTAATGTCCCGCCCGCGTCGGCTCGCCCGACCCGACCCTCCCGATAGTGTTACGCGTGCGTCTTTTTAAACATGCGTCATACTTTAATGTCCCGCCCGCCCGACCCGACCTTCCCGATTGGGTTTGCTCGCCCGAACCGATTCGCCCGTTAGCGTTACGCGTGCCCTTCCCATCCGCTCCCCCACGAGTGGACAAGTTTGGATTGGAAGCGGGAGCCCCTGCTAGGAAAGGTCATCACATTTATGCCCCGGCGCTTCCCTTCTCGCACTTGCAATTTTGGTAGGGATCAGCACTTCGGCGAGTGCTGATCCCTACCAAAACGGGGTGTTGGGTGAGTGCATAGGCCTCTGTGGGCCTACAACGAGTGGACAATTCTGGATTGGAAGTGTGCGCCCCTGCTTAGAAAGGTCATCACATTGTTGTTCCGACGCTTCTCTCCTCCCCCTTGCCGTTCTGATAGGGATCAGCACTCCGGCGAGTGCTCCGCCCGAC